GCAATAATCATCACAGATATATATATGGGGAAATCAGAATCACCACAGTAAACGGCACAGATTATTGATTCTTGTCAAAAAAAAAGTCTAATCACATTGAAAAAGGAGATCATTATCAATCAATTTGATTGGGATTAGAATTCATTTTCTGAATGATGATTTAACAAAAATATTTCGTCGCTTTCTTATATAATCAATGAAAAAAAAAGAATGAATGAACGACTATGACAATCAACGACAAAGCGACTACTGAAACAGAACAGAAATCAAACATCATGATCGTCTTGATGATCATCATCACTACTGGCAAATACTGTGAATCGAATTGTTTTGTGAATATATCTAACCAGAAAAAAAACCAAGAAATAGACACACACACACACACACACACAACATATATACATTTGGCGAGAGTCGTCGCATTTTGGTTCGTTTGTTGGATGAATTTTTTATGGTTTCACGAATTTTCTAACCAGGATCTTTCATTTTTACATCATTGTCCTATCATTTTTTGTTGTTGTTGTTGTTGTTGTCGTCGTCGTTGTTGTTGTTGGATCATCATACAATGATGAATCGATTCAATCATGTTATAATGTTGATCGTTTTGGTTATTTTTTCATTTATATTCATTATCGATTTTCGTTAATTTTATAAGAATCGGAATAAAATTCATTTGAATTTAATTTAGTGAAAAATTCTGCCATTTTAATTTTAATTTTTTTTTTGATGAAAACGAAACGAAAAAAAAACTTGGGAAACTAGGGAAGACAATTGAGGAAATAAATGTGATAGAGGAAGTGGGTGGAAAAAGAGTGAGTGAGAGAGAGAGAGAGAGAAAAGAAAAGAAACGGCAATAATCATCACAGATATATATATATGGGGAAATCAGAATCACCACAGTAAACAGTACAGATTTTTGATTCTTGTCAAAAAAAAAGTCTAATCACATTGAAAAGGAGATCATTATCAATCAATTTGATTGGGATTAGAATTCATTTTCTGAATGATGATTTAACAAAAATATTTCGTCGCTTTCTTATATAATCAATGAAAAAAAAAGAATGAATGAACGACTATGACAATCAACGACAAAGCGACTACTGAAACAGAACAGAAATCAAACATCATGATCGTCTTGATGATCATCATCACTACTGGCAAATACTGTGAATCGAATTGTTTTGTGAATATATCTAACCAGAAAAAAAACCAAGAAATAGACACACACACACACACACACAACATATATACATTTGGCGAGAGTCGTCGCATAATCATCATTAACGATGATGAAAAACACTACGATCATCATCATCCTCATATTTTGTGTTATATTCGTTGATAATGGTAAACGTTGTTCACATGTTTATAAATTTTTGTGTAGAAATATTACACATTTATATTCAACTTAAACATTTTTTTTTCTTTTCTTTTGTTCATTTTCATATACCGTTTTTCTTCTGTCATACACACACACACACCGATATATACACACAGAAAAAAAAACTACACGAACATGAATAAGAAACAAACGGCTTCGAATAATAGTAATAATAATAAATAAATATTCAAGGAAAACGAGAAATGAATATTATGAATGATGATGAAAATTCAAAATTTTTGTCGTTGCTGCTGCTGCTGCTGCGTTCATATAAATTCAACTTTTTTTCTTTTCTTTTTTTTTCTCTTCTAATGTATACATTCTGAATTTGAATTTTTATTATTAGTAATGTATAGTATTCATAAACGGTCCGAATGTTTTTTTTTTTTTTTTATATTCATGTGTTTGAAATGATACTGGAAAAGAAACTACATTGTGTGGAATCGAAATAAAAAAAAAAAAAAAATTGAAATCATTGTCACTAGATGGCAGGAAATGTGACCAATGATTTCGGCTGCCATCTAGTGGTTTAGAATAGACAAGAATTTTGTTTTGAATTTTGAATTTAAACGTTGCAGAATAATAGAATTCGAATCAAATTTTTTTTTTTTTGAATAAATTTTTATTATATTAATATCAGTTTTTTAAATAATTTGTTACACAAATTGTCACGTGACATTTGTTTGAAATTTTTTGTTTTTTTTCGCGATTTATCAGACACAAATTGAAATCAGAAAAAAAAGTGGATGATCAATCATAATCGATAGAACAATCGATCTATCAATCAATCAATGATTTTTTTTTGCCCATAAAGAGAGGAGCGAAGAAGAAAAAAAAAGGAATAAATGCAAATGAATGAATCATGTTTTGTGTGTGTGTGGTGTGTGTGTGTGTGTATCTCACTTTCTCTCTTTTCCTCTCGGTCTCTGCGTGTGTGTGTGTGTGTGTGTGTTTGTAGGTATGAGTGGGTATGTGGGTATTTATTCTGTTTTCATCAATGATGATTTTGGTAATTTTATTATTCGTATCATGATGATCATCAACAAACAAGATCAAATAAAATGAAAATGTTAATGAAGATAGAGAGAGAGAGAGAGAGAGAGAGATAGAGAGTGAGAGATTTAAGAGAATCGAATAAAATAACATTAACAGGAAGTACACATTTTGGGATATGATTGTGGTGAAAAACAGAAATAGTGAGAGCGAGAGAAAGAGAGAGAGAGAGAGAGAGAGAGAGAGAGAGAGAAAAAATGAATGAATGAATGAATGAATGACAATTACAATTAAAATTGAATAAGAATAGTGAGAAAAAAAACCGGAATTATACAAAAAGAAAAAAACAAAAACAAAAATTTGAAAAAAAATAATCAATAAACATGATAAAATGTTAAATGTTCACAAAAAAAACAAACACACACAAACACAAAAAAATAACACACACACACACACAAACATAAAAGTGATACAATTTAAAATTGTTGTAAATAATTTGAAATATATAGAAATTTTTCAATTTATCATCATAACGTAATATTTATATAAATATAAATAATTAGGAAGTTTATGACAAATGGTAATGTATTGTTTGTGTTGGTGTTTGTGGTGCTGTTCATGGTGGTGCTGGTGGTGATGGTGGTGGTTGTAGTAGTGGGAGGAAAGATGGCAGAAAGTATGATGGTGACATCAATCAACGGTTATGTATTGTGTGTGTGTGTTGTAATCAATTTATATTCATATATAAAACCACAAAGAAGAAGAGGAAGAAGAAGAAGACGAAGAGGAAATGAAAAACATGGGTGCACGTTTTTTTTCAAAGAAACAAAAAATAATCAATAACATTGAACAAAAAAAGGAAGTGAAGAGAACAAAAAAAAAATTCAAAGAATCGCGTCTGTATTTATATTATCGAAGTGTATACAAAGTGCAAATGTGGGCGAGTGTGTGTACATGTGTGTGTGTGTGTGTTAAAAGTTTGTGGTTCGTTGATTATTATGATGAAATCTTCATCCTGTTTTTCTCTCTCTTTTTTTTGTCGAATTCATATTACACATAAATATATAATGGATGATTATAGAATTTAAAAGAAAAAAAAATCAGAAGTAAATCAATAAAAACATTATTGTTTGGTGATTACAGATAGATGATGATGATAATGATGGTGATAATTACGTCCAGATTTATCAATAATTCCAGAAAAACCAATGTGTGTGTGGGTGTGTGTGGGTGTGCTGATGAAAATTCATTTTTTATTTATACAAAACAAAAGCGACAATTTTTTTCTTGTTGTAACATTCAATCTATTTAAACCAATTTGAATAGAATTCTATTGAATTGTGGGGAAAAATTTTTTTTAATTTCATTGTATTTGTTGTTATTATGTAAAACGGATCTATTAAATTGATAAATTTATAATTATTGAAAATTGAATCACTACACAAACAGATTATTTATATCTATATATATATATATATATTGATTGCTTATTGATTGACAAGAATGTGGGCATGTGAATTCGTGTGTAATCAAGTGAAAGTGGAATTTCAATAAGAAAAAAAAAGAAAAACAAAAAACAGAAAACATCAACTCATCATCATCATAAGAATAATTTTGAACAACAGCAATAAATAAACACATGAACAATATAAAATAATAACAATCAATTATACACCGGTCACACACACACACACACACACACATGGCAATAAAATAATGATAATCAATTGTCATTATATAAATGATGATGATGATGATGATGAATGATCATTGAAATGAATGGAGGAAAAAAAGAAATTTTTTCCATAAAATTTGTGCAGTTTTTTTTCTGTGCAAAATATATATATAATATGGGTGTGTCTGTGTGTGGGAGTGGTAGTGATTCATGAAAATTGAAGTATCGAATCTCTGTATAAAACATCATTGTGTGTGTGTGTGTGTGTGTGTGTCACAAAATTCATAAGAAAAAAAAAAAGTTCGTTTCATTATTATTATTATGTCAAATGTTTGGATTTTTTTTAAAAATATAAGTTATATATGGTAATTTAACCGCGAACATATATATATCATCATCGGTTAATTTGAGTTTGTATTCAATTTTCATTGCCATTTCAATTTGTTTGTGTACGGGAGTAGTGGATTTTTTTTCTCTTTATTTTCAGGTTTATATTTTTTTTTTTTTTTTTGATTACATCCGAGATTCTGATCCGAAAAGGAAAATTTGTCACAATATATAATCGCCATAATATATGAATGGCGTGTGTGAATGCACACGGTACACGGAATAAAAAGAAACAAAAGATGAAAAATGCAAAAAAAATTGAACTGAAAAAAAAGATGACACATTTACATCATTTAAATTGTTTTTCCAGCATTTTGTCTTGAAATTGATATATTTCAAATAATGATGACGATTGATTATGGTGAGAGAATGGTGAGAAAGAGAGAGAGAAAAAAACATATGAAAACAAACACAACAAGAATTAAAATAGTAGCACAGGATATAGCAATTTTGATGAATTGAATTGAATGAAAGTAGAATTTTCATTTCCACTTTCTTTTCAAATGAATTACAGAATGAATCAAGAAAAAAAAACACAGAAAGAAGAAAACAATAATTTATATATATATATATGGGTGAGATTCGTCATCATTATCATCAATTGTTCAATTTCCATCTTTACTTGATGATTGTTTTGGTGCAGGTGGTGGTGCTTCTTTTCTTGGTGGCATACGTTCATTCATTTTATCTAAACCTTTGGCTTCTTCAAAACTGGCTATCTTATGATTTGGTGAAAAGCCAGCCAATGCTATTTTAAATTAGAAAAAAAAGTTTAGTTTTTTGTTTTGTTTTGTTTATCACAAAAAAAAAATTTACTGACCATTACGTAACGTATTTTTACCACCAGATAATGCACCCAATGGTAATGTACCGGTGGGCGTCAATCCTTTTAATTGTAGAACACTTTCAGATTCTTCACGTAATACAGAGAATACTCGTGCCATTTTACCGATGGCACGTATCTTATTTCGTATCACTTCTTTACGTGCCGTTGCTGCAGGCAATTGTATAGGTACACGTGCATTGCCAATAACGTAAAAGCCAATAGAGAGATTGATAGCAAATTGAAAACGAAAATAAAAAAACAAAAGAACAAAAAGGAAGAATCGAAAGGGAAATTTTTTTTGTTGTTGTTCATTGGATATGAATGAAAAAAAAATAGAAAAACAAAATAAAAAAATATCGAGGTAAGTGCATAGTTTGTTCGATAGATGGCGAAAATCGATTCAATTGATTGATGGAACACGAATGTTGACACACGAATTGTTGGCATGATACAGAAAAAAAAGCAGAAAGACGATTTTGTTTGTTTGGATACCAAGCAGACAAGCCGCGGTGGCAACAATGACATGATTCGAAGCAAATAAAAACATGTGAATAATTCGGGTTCAATAACAAGCGTAGGAGTAGGTTTAATGAATTTTGTTTTCGTAGTAGGTCGGTTGTAGTGGTTGTTGTTGTTGTTGTTGGATTTGTGGATTGGATATCGATTAGAAAAACGATGATCGATTGGGAATAGTAGAAAATTTTTCGACGATAATTGTAAGAAAGAGAGAGAGAGAGATAGAAAGAAAAATAGAATGAAATTTTGGTATTAGTAAAATTATCGTCATCGGTTCAATGGTTTTAAACAGGATCAAAGCAATCCACGTTTGGGACAATGAAATGGAATGTTTGGAATGTATTAATATAACGATGATAATCAGTATACCTTCTTCAATACTTTGATCTTCTTCGCCTTCATTTATAATCAATTCATCATCGGAACAAATGTTGAGCACATTGACCAACATTTCTGTTACTTTTTCACCAACAAATGGTAATGACCATGTGAATACATCCATAAAATTAGGCAGCCAATATGGATGTGGTGAACAATTAAATTGGCGTATGTTCATCACGTTATTTTCATATTTGAGTATGGCCGCTTTATTATTATAAACATCCAGATAGTTTGGTGCCGAAAATATTGTTATCAATGATGGAAATCCGGTTACCAATGATTTTCGATACATTCGATAACTGAAATAGAATTAAAAAAATCAACATGAATATTATTCATTGGTAGAAAAAAAAATTAATCCACATACCCTGCATCCTGTGCTTCATGAGCTCTTATAATTGACAATAAATTATTCTGTTGTAGAAATTCACAACATGCTCCATATGAATAAAAATATGAACATCCACGAACAGAATTATGTGTAAAATGTTCTTCATTTGGTTTTTCATTACCAAATTCTTCCAATGGATCAGACCAAAGTAGATCACACATCGGTCCAAATGCTGGTGGTTCTTTGAAACGATCCAATTTTTTAATATCTTCTAATGTATGTATCTCTGGTGATAGACCTAAATATAAACAAATAAATAAATAACAAAGGGTTAAATATTTATAATGAAATTCATCGAAGAGAAAAAAAAAAGACAAACACATTACTTACCACCATGGACACAAAGAAATTGACCGTTCATTAATGCGGCTAATGGTAGACAATCGAATGCTTCCATACAGGCGTCATATACACGTTCCGAGTATTTGATTTTACCTTTTTTTTTAGTTTTGTTTTGGTGAATAAAAACCCAAAAAAACCCAAAAAAAAAAAAAATCCACCAATAATTCAAAGCCAAAACGAATGAGAATGAATAAAGCAGAATATAAAATAAACAAAGAGAAAGTGAGAAAGAAAAATTTTTTTTTTACCAGAAATGATTAGATAATGTATTTTACTGAGCGAGAATAAATAAACACACAGACACATACGAAACAAGAGTAATTGGAGATTTGAATCCAGCAAGCCAACCAACCAGCCAGCCAGCCAGCCAGCCGATTTGGATTCATTCATTGTGAAGAACCAGAAAAAAAAAAAATAAATTCAGGTCATTAGATTTTTTTTCCTGGTTTTTTTTTGTCACTGTTTGTGTATGTGTTTGTTTTGTTTGTTTGGTTGTTGGTTGTCATAAAAATTTATCACTCACACAAATACACACACACACACACACACAGACGCAGAGAAACACACGCCCAAGATATAATGATTCTCTATTTCTTTTTTTTTCACTTTCACATTGATCTTGTTTCACACACATATATATCAACACATGATCGCCTTATTATTAGTTAGGCTGGCCACAGAATCAGTATTTTTTTTATCCATTTTCATTTTGATTTAATCAAAATGAAGAAAACATTGAATGTATGGTATGAATCAATATGGAAAATTAATTACTTTAAACACGCTATTAATTTCATTATCAAATTGAATTCTTTTTTTGTTTATGATGAAGCAAAACCAAAACAAATATGAACAACAATACAGATCAGATTTTCTCTGGAATCGATAGCCATAGAATAGGAATCTTATGTGTGTGTGTTTGGAATCTTTTGACACATCATCATCATCATCATCATCATCATGTTTGTGAATGTGAATTTTTTTTTTCATTCTATGAAAAGTAAAAAATATTCATCATAATTATCACAATCAACTGACATTGAAATGGATCAATTTTTTTTTTGTTGTTGTTGCTCAGTTTTCGATTATCTCATCACATCACATTCTGGACATATACACACACACACACAGACAAACAGAAAATCGATAATGAAAAATTTGTTATACAACGCCCAGAATATGTTTTTTTTTTTTTTTAAGTTAAACACACTATCATTTTGGAAGAAAATCGAAACCTACAACACATACATTGAAAAATTTATTCTGATCACAATTTTTTTTTTGTTTTGTTTTTGTTTTTATTTTTTGTTTTAGTTACTAGCCAAAAAGTTCAATAAGCGTTTGGTATGCAGCAAATGGCCAGCAAATGTTTGACCAGAAATAAAAATAAAATCAACATTAAGGTCACATAAATCGTTTGTGTATGGCCAGAAAAATAAAAAAATAAACAATTTGCCTTATCAATGTCTTTGTTTTACTACTACTATTACTAGTTTTTTTTCCTACCATTGTAGTAGTAGTAGTGGATTCGGCAATTCTCAAAAAAAAAGTTTTTTTATTATTATTATTATTACGGATAAAAAATTGAAATTGAATTGACTAGAATCATCAGCAAACAAACGAAAAAAAAAACTGTATGGGCCATCAGACTGTATAGAATACAAAAGGCAAATGAATATTAAAAAAAAAATTCTTTTAGATTCCATATAAACAAAACAAAAAAAACATTTATATAGACGGAATAAAGTTTGAAACGTGATTAATTTTTTAAATAATAATAATAAAAAAAAACAAAAATAAAATTACATAACATAACTACGGGCGACTACAATGGTAGGAAAAAAAAAACTTTTAGAAATGGCTATAAATATATGGGGGTAAGACCGCCGTCCGTTTTTCTTGTCACACTACTGTACGTCGTCGTCGTCGTCGTCGATGTTATTGTCGTTCATGTTTTGGTTCCTTTTTTTTGGCATCATCTTTTTTATATTACATTACATTACATCACTGATCATCACACATTAAATATAGCTAGGCTTAAAACAATTGTGCGTGTATATGTGTGTGTGTGTGTTTCATGCCTGATAGATAAACCAGACATTCAAGCTCGAAAAAAAAATGAATTCTAATCGTGGAATGAACAAAAAAAAAAAAAAAACAAAAACAAAACAAACGATATATATACTTACATTCAGTTTTGAATGTAAAATATTCGGTAAGATGGCGACATTCATGATTGCCACGCAATAGGAAGAGCGTTGTTGGATAGGTTATCTTTAAAGACCATAAATATAGAACACACTATAAATGTCAGTAAATACCGGAACCGGAAAAAAACAGTTATTAACATTTTATTTGAATTACAAACAAAACATATACCTCGATACTAAAATAACCACGATCAACATAATCTCCTAGAAAAAGATATTTTGTTGATGATGGATTACCACCAACTTCGAATAATTTCATTAGATCATAAAATTGACCATGTATATCACCACAAACTGAAACAACAAAACAAAAAAAAAAAATATTAAATAACAAGGTGAACAGAAAAAAAAAAAAAATTTCTAATTTAAATTACCGGTCACTGGAGCTTCAATATCGATCATTGTTTTTTCAGCTCTCAATAAGGCGGCACCCTCATTTATAATACGTAGGGCGACATTCTCCTCTAAACGTCCTTCATGTACAAAATGATATTTAAGTGCATCTATACGTGGCTTGTTCGTTTTTGGATCAAATGCTTCGGCCATCGTTATCTTTCGCGATGGTGGAAATGGTACACCTGATTGATTTGGCAAAAAAATAAAAAAATAAAATTAAAACGGGTTAATAATGAATTTCATTTGGATGAAAATTAAAAATTCAATCAACAACAACAATATATAGTGATTAGACGATTCTTGAACAAATGAATGGACCCAACAGATGAATATAAGGTGATTGATGATTAAATAACAAAAAAAAATCCAAGACAAAAAAAAGAATACAATGAAACAAGAAAAATCCAAATACCCACACACACACACACACATACTTGGTCTTATCATTTCTACAATGTTCAGAATTATTTTTTTCTCTCTCTCTCTCCCTTTCTTTTTACCAGGAATTGAACAATGATTCCTATGGGCCTATGTGTTTTGTGCAACCATTTTCAGTGGACAAACGGCAAAATCTAATGGAATATTAATCAACTTACAAAGCATATATAGAATCAGTTCTAGTAATCTATTCAGTCACAATGTTATATTTTGTTGTTGTTGTTGTTGTTGCTACCTAATTCTTAAGTTATCATTATCAGAACTATAGTGTTTGAAAATTAAATCCAAAGTTCGCTAACATTTTGGCGAAAGATGAAGATGAAACACATAAAGTGAAAGAATAAAAGTTTTTCATTAAGATACTTCAGTAAAAAAAAATGCGAAAACAACAGCAAAAGAAAAAAAAAAAAATGCAGTAGCCGAATTCAGTAGTATCCATTTTTCTCTCTCTTTTTGGACCCAAAATGCAAAAAAAAAAATTAGGCAAAATAAATTGAATAATTTATTCTTTATCATCTCTTTCGTTTTCCATCATCATTACTGTGAATCACTAAACAATAATGTAGAGTGGAAAGAACAAGAAAAAAGAAAAAAAAAGATCAGGTAAAAATACCGAAAATGTTGCCATTATAAAACATATTCGGTAAAATGAATTTGAAATTTTTGTTCATTTTTCACAAGTTGACTATTTCATTATTTAGATTCATCCGCATGTTTATCAATATTTTCTGAATATTTCACAGGTATCGATGATAATGATGATGATGATGATGATGTATGATCATTATGATGATTTTGTCCATTGTCATCAGTTCCTTTGGAAATAACTGTTTCAATTTTTTCTTGTACAGGTCTTATTTCTTGAAATACTTTACGATATGGTTGAATTATTTCACGTACATTTTGTATAACTGGTTTTTGTATATTCTGTACAAGTATATCCGGTTCGGCCATAAAATTTGCTTTGTGCGTTTTTGCCATAATACCATGATGTTTTTGTATAGTATTTATTTGTGAACTAATTGTATTGAAACGTAATGTAATCATATTATTTGTTGATGCAATATCAATCATTGGATTTGGACCATTAATACGTAAACTTTGAACCGGTATAATACGTAAATCTTGTTTCGATATAATTGCAGCATCAATATTTGTACCATAACCATATCTATTCATACCATATGATGATGATGGATAAATCATAGCCACAGTATGATTGATCATTGTTACAATTTTCATCAAAATAAAAAGTTTCGATGAAAAAATTAACATTGTAATTGAATGGATGATAAGTGAAACAAAAAAAAATGAAATGAAATGAAAATATGACCAAAAAAATGTTTTAGGATCAAAAGTTTTTATATGTAAACATGAGATGAAAAACATGATAAAATCTTTCTTTCTCTCTTTTGACAAATGAACAACAGTAACAAACTAGATGATGATGATAATTGCCAAATCATATAGAATGTTGAATAAATAGAAAAGGAAAAAATTTGAAACGATTGTCAGTAGCCAATCATCATAAAAAATAATTGAAAACACAAAAATTCAAACAAACAACAAACGAATGAATCTTGATGATGATGAAAAAAAAAGAAAATTACCGATTTCTTATCTAAATGTATTTGCTTCATCATCATTATGATTATTATGATACTCGATTTGGACATTTTTTTCCGACGAAAAAACTTGTTCATCATCATTTGAGATATATGGTTGATTGAACACAGGATAAGCATCATCGTAATCATCATCATCATTATCAGCATTCATTGAAGATACAAAATCATATCGACATCTTTTTTGTTGTTGTTGTTGTTGATTCAATTCAATTTTGTATAGAAAATGACCATAGAATCTGTAACGGAATAGAATACTACTCTCAATTGATCTATCGATTCTGGCCAATATGGCCACAAGTGAATTTTTATAAAGAAAAAAATAGATCCGATTAAATTTTTTTTTTCCTGATTATTATATCATCACATTTGTACCGTATACGTTGTATATTGTCGACACAATGTATCGGACATTTCTATCATGAAAAACCACGAGAGAAAAAAAACCAGAAAACATATAATAATCGTCAATGGTTGTTTGATTGATTCGAATGAAAACAAAAAAAAAAATTAATCGAATTTTTCATTTTTCACGGGAGTAAAAAAAAAATCGATACAATCCGCTTTTGTTCATTCGGTTTTGTTGCTGTTGTTGTTGTTTTGTTGTGGTCGTAGTAGTAAAAAACAGTGGAATGATTTTTTTTTTTTTTTTAGTTCACTTCAAATCAAATAGATCGTATATGATTCTGGAAAAAAAAGAAAATCAAACCAAAATACAATCCTATTCGATTCAATTCCCCATAGAATAATCGACTTTGATAAATCTGAAAAAACTGTTTTCAGCCATTTTGATTCATCGAGAATTGTCCATTAAATTCTTTTATTTTTATTTTTTGCTTTTGTTTTTCAAAAAAAAATATATATAACCAATAGTGGACAATTGAATGGAAAATTTGGACAATAAATTTGAATTTAATTTTTCGCCGGAATTTATTATTCCACATAAAATAAAGAATATTAAGCTTGCGTGTGCATGTGTGCATAGTAAATGTTTATAATGTTTTCAACGCTAAACTTCAATGAAAAATATTTGGATCATTTGAAATATGGCCACACACACACACACACACAAAACAACATTGACAATCAAACAATGATCATACATTATTTGTTCGAATGTAGACAAAAAAAAACCAAACCAAACATTAAATTGATCCAATGCCATCGTGAATCCAACAGAGAAAAAAAACAAAATGCCAAAAGTCAACAACGTTAGCGACAAATACGATAAACACTAAAAAAAACAAAACAAAAGATAACAACAAAAAATTCGAATCAAACAGAATAGATGATGAAAAAAAAGATGATGGATATAAACGAGAAAACGAGAAAAATTCTTGTTTGATGCATGAAATGATCAAATGTAATACTGAAGATGGGAAAAAAATTGATTTTGAAACTTCGATATAGAGAATGACAATCTCTTGGGTCTAGTTCGTCATCGTTCAACATCATCGTGATGACGATGACGATGATGATGATGATCATCATCATCATCATGTACATTTCATAGAAATCATGGCCATCCACTTGAAATTTCCCAAAGGAATCCATTAATTCTTTGATGATGATGATGATTAGATTGACATGAATTGAATTGTATCGAGCAAAAAAAGCCTCTATCTCTCATAGTCATATAGAGGCAAATAAAAAATTAAAAATAAAATAATTTTGGATTATTAAAGATTTAAAAATTTTAGCCAAAAATACAGCTGTTCATGTTGATAGATTCGATCATTCCATATATTCGTTATTGTGTTGTTGTTGTTGTTGTTGTAATATTCGGTTACAAACTTTTTTAAATTAACATTCAATGTTCACATAGTATGAATAATCACAATCATCATAACGGTAAACAAGATTATGAAAATGAAAACAAAAATATTGTTGTTTTTTTTGCCTGATATTTGTCATTTTATTTTGTTTTTAATGAGAATCAAATAACATTTGACAACACAGAATATTGTGATGATGATGATGATGATGATGATTATGGTAAATAATAATCAACATTAAATTCATTAATAATAAGCCATTATTTTTTCATTCGTTTCATTTGAATAAAGTAGACTAGACTGAAAGAAAATTTTCATTTTCAAAAAGTCCAATATGTTGAAGAGACATGACCAAATGAATGCTGATGGTTTGAGCCAATTTTTTGTTGTCGTTGACATCGTTGTTCATCATAAATTGGAATCAAGAATTAATGATGATGATGATTTTTCTCCTCTACGATAATCGGATTAATTTTTAAACTTTCAATGCGAATGAATATCATTTTGGATTCTATCTATCTTGTTTTTTTCTGATTTTTGATTATTAATTTTACATGAATAACAACAAACTATCAAGGATTTTATCGAATCAAATCAAATCAAATCAAATCAAATAATCGAAATACATATGCACCTGCTATCTAAATATATGAATTAGGAAAAAAACAACTTACTTTTAATGATACGATCAGTTGTTGAAAGTTTTTGGTTTGCATTATTTGTTGTTGTTGTATTACTTGAATTTGTTGCTGCTGTTTGACCAGTTCCGGTTGTCGTTCCTTGACCAGTTGTTGTTGTTGTTGTTGTTGCTGATGGTGATGATGATGATGTTGCAGCAGTAGCAGCAGCAGCAGTAGAAGCAGCAGCAGAAGTTGATGAGGATGATGTTGCGTTAGCAGTAGCGGCAGTAGTGTTTGTCGTTCCACCACCACCACCACCACCACCGCTACTACCGCTTCCGCCCGTAGAACTGTCATTATTTTGAACTTTGTTCTGACCGGTCGTTACGCTTGTTGAATTGGCCATTTGAATAATTATATATAAATTTTTTTTTATCTATTTTGTTTTGTTTGTTTTGTTATAATTTGGATTCAGAATTTTTTTTCTTCTTATTAAATTGAATAAAATGTTTGTGAAGACAAATGTGAATTGTTTTAAAAGTTAATCAATTGATTATTATTTACAAGGAGGATTTTTATTTTTAGAAAATAAAAATTAATTTGGATTTGGATTGGATTTGGATTATGTTAAAATCTGTTTGATTTTAATAATAATAATATGGTTGGCGTGTGTGTGTGTGTGTGTGTATGTTTATGTGTAGGTGTGTGTGTGTGTGTGTGTGTGCGAAGAATGTAGGCAAAGATCTCTTTAGGTTTAAGATTCTTGATTAGTTTTGTTTATTTTGTTACAATCAATTGATGATATGTAAATTGACCAGATAATTGATGATTAAGATGTTATCGTTGTTCAATTATTGGCCTTGTTTATAATAGATGTGTATATGTGGTGATCATTGAGCTATGGGAAAAAAAAAAATGAAAATGAAAATGAATAGAAAAAAATGTCATTAGTTTAAACGAATTATTGAAATATATTTAAAGAACACAGGGATTAAATGATTCCCAGTGAAAAAAAATAATAACCGTCATGATGATGATGATGATGAGGATGTTCTGTAACTCAATTGATTTTGTCATGAAAAAAACACAACACACACATACAAAACAATAATCGAATCTTAAGTAGTGAAAATCTCAATCCATTTATTCGAGGACACGAAAAAAAAAAAAATTTTTTTTCAAACTTTACATTTCTTATTCTCTCTGTATTTATGATTGTTCAGCAAAATGTCAACTTTTTCGTTTTCAACTTAAAAAAAAATATATGAAAACAAAACAAAGAAAAAAAGGAAAACCGAAATAAAATTGGAAACAAAGACGAAAAAAAAACTAATAATTCCATAAAAAAAGACGACCAAGATGAAACAAATTCGCACACACACACACACACACTGCTCGGCTCTTGATACAATTTTTTTTTTGCAACTTTTGCAAAGTTTTATCTAACGAAACAACAGCAAAAAAAAAAATTCATTTCATTTTCAGACACACACACACAGAGAGTTTTGTTTTCAATTCCATTAAACATCATCATCATCATCATCATTAGAATCGCTTTTTCATTTTATCTATCAAAGAAACAAAAAGAACGAATAAAGAATAAACCATTCAAGTGGTTTGATATGGTGGTTGAAATTTTTTTTTAATTTCTTTTTTTTTGTAGTTGTCGTTGATAAGTTGTCAGATCGAGAAAAATTTTTTTTTTTCGATTTTCAAAATGCTTCTATTGACAGTTTTCGATGTCAAAATGATTGCGCAATTTTTCTAATTGAAATAACCGAAACGATATTGTATCGTAATGTTATAGGTGTGTGGTGATGATGACCCATAAGACCAAGCTTTAATTGTCTCTTTTTTTTCTCAATTTGAAGATGATGAATGAAGAGCAACTTCAATGACTGTTTTTATTCACAACAACAAACATGAAACAAATTCTGATTCTGTACATTTTTCTGAATTTATGATGAATTTATTTTGTTTTTTTCCAAAAGAATTCAGAAGAAAAAATCATTTAAGAATCAATTTTGATTTTACAAATCTCCAACATATTGGCTGAAAAAAAAATCAAATGATTGATTGATTGATTGATTGATCGACAATCATCATCACATGTACACATAAGAATCACAGAATGCCAAACAAATTTTTTTTTAATTTTTTGTTTGTTTCCATTATTTCCATTGAAAGAAAAAGAATTTTACTAAGTGGAACCATTTGTTACTAAACACAAATCAATAACAGATGTGAAAAAAAAAACGAAATTTCAAATGTGAAAAAAAAAAAAAAAAAAAATTATGTATCAATCATCAACAAAATGGAGAACATAATATAATCCAATATATAAAATGCTGAATTTTTATTTTCAAATTTGTGATGATGACGATCAATATGAACGAACAAAAATTCAGACATTCGACTAAGACAATCAGTGAGTCTTTATTATTCCAAACGATATTCACAACTTAAATTAAAGATCCGATAAACAATCTGGTGAAAACAAAACAAAAAAACTAACAGGATTATTCAGGTGGATCCATTGATGCTGATTAGCTAAATAATTGGATAAACGATCGATTTTTTGTTTCAATCATTAGATATTTCTAATTGGATCGTTTTTGTTCTTCATATATGAGAAAAAACTTCTTTTTTTTGCTTGAAATCAATTCATCATGATGAGGAAAGGTTTTTTTCAAAAATCAAAGTTTTGAACGTACGTTGAAAATGCCTTCAGGTTATATTGAAGTTTTGATTGAGTTTTTTTTTTGTTCATCATTATTAACAAATAATTTTGACAAAAGTGAAACAAAAAATTTATTCACAATAAAATTATTTCTGAATAAATGTAAAAATGAAAAATTTAAAAATCAATTTTCATTGATACATGCAAAATTGGATTTTTTTTTGTATCATTGAAAAATAATGAGAAAATACAACTTAATCATCAGGAGAATAAAAAAAAAAAAGAAAACTTGACTAAGACTCTGAATAATCGCTGGTGCACAAAGAGGACAAATTTTTTTTTTTATTTTATAAAATTTCAATTAAAAAAAGAAAATTCTCTCTTTTTGATAGAATTTTTTGTTTGGCCATTATTAAGCATCATCATTTGAATTTTTTGTGTAAACACACACACACACACACAAAAAATGGTTGTGTTGGTGGTTGTTGGTTTATTGGTAAACTTTCAAAACAGAAAGAAAAAAAAATGAGAAAATTCCGACAACAACAACGAATTGGAAAAAAAAAAAATTGAAAGTATATTGTACTTGAATCATATGGCCAACGAACCATAACCATCGACAAAAAAAAATGCATTCAAATTTTGTTTTTTTTGATTCTCTTCAAAATAGAAAAAAAAATTCTTTTCAAAAGAATAATTTCAAATTTGAAATTCTAAATTCTAAATCGATTGATCGGTATATTATTATCATTGAGAGAGAGAGAGAGAGAGAGAGAGAGAGAGGCATCAAAAAAAAAAATATGTTTCGAGAAAAATGTCCATATGGACAATGTACGAGAAAAAAAAATTTGTCATTTTGTCCATCATCATCATCATCATCATCCATTGCCTGTACTGTTTGTGGGGTTCGATACTTTTTTTTTCCAGATGTGAAAAAAAAAATATTGAAGAATCCACACACATTGAGAGAGAGAGAGAGAGTGGAAAGAGAGAAATTCGAGTGAGAAAAGAGAGAGAAGAGAAAGAGAGAAGAAAACGAAAAGCGAACAAAAACGGTGAATAGAAATTGAAAAAAAATTTGAACTTTTCTTTCAAAACATATGCACACACACACACACACACAAATACAAGTTGTTGAGGTATATTTGTAGAATAAATTTGTCTCTCTCTTTCTTTGTGTGTGTGTGTGTGTGTGTATATATAGGTGATTCTATTTTTTTCCATTTCAAACAAAGACTACAATCATCAACATGGTTATGAACATCATAATATTGACAAGAATGAAATTCAATTCAATTTTTTTTCATGAAAAAAAACCATTGAAAAATTGTAAAAACAAACGTGATGGATGGAAAAAAAAAGATGATACTTGAAAAAAAATGAAAATTTTCACACACACACACACACACACACACACATAGCCATGATGATGACATAATCAACACACATTTGTTCAAATAGGAAACCAAAAACAGAATTTTTCTGATTCGAACACAATTAAATTGTCATCAATTGTATTTGTATCGAAACCGGTCGTCGTCGTCGTCGTCGATTTTTCTATATTTTCATTCTATAATTTGTCTCAATCATCATCATCATCATTTCGACGGAAATACGAAAATGATTCTTTATAACCACTTTAATTATTCTCGAAAAAGAAATTCAATGATGATGATGATTATCAACTTCCTGTATTTAAAATAGAATTCATGAATAGGCTAGAATAAATGAATGAACACACACATATGGGGAAGCCACCACCACCACCACCACCAGACAACCGGCCAAACAACAATGGCAATGTGAGATCGAGCCAATTTCAAAAAAAAAAAAAACGAAAATTCGTAATCTTCATTCCATAATTCATTTCGGAATAATTCAATTTCGATAAAAATAAAACCAAAATTTCTATTATCAAATGAATAATTTTCAATAAATTCCATATCATGGAAAAAAGAGACCAGCTGAAACTTTTATGACAAGAAGAAGAAAAAAAAATTTAACCCAAAAATCCTAGATGATTTCAAGTATAAAATAATTGATGAATAACAAAAAAAAGCATCATTATTATAAGTGAAAAAAAAGAAAATGGATTCACTATTCACTACATAATCGAATTTGAATTTCTTTTCGATCCAAACAAGATGGCAAGAAGAAAAAAAAAAGAAGAAGAAAAAATGAATGAAAAGAAAAAAAAAGTCACTGTTCTTTTCAATTGTCATTTTTATCGTTTTATTCAATCACATCATTTATATACACACAAAAACACATGAGCCAGAGAGACATTATGTTCGTTTCTGTTTTTTAGTTTCCCTGGACAAATAGTTTTTGAATGTACTCTACACTGTATAGTTGGTTTGAATTGCCAAACAAAAAAAAAATCGATTCTAAATTCAATTATAGAATCGAATAAAAGAATCCAAGATCATTATCATCATCATCATCATAGATTATCATGAATAAAATAAAAAAATTTCTGAATTCTGAAATTGAAACCAAGATAATGGAAATAATCAATCCATAAAGAAAGAAAAAAAGAGAGAGAGACAAAGAAAAGAAAATGAATAGGCAATAGTAAATTCATTATGGATTCTAGTCAATAAGAAACTATTTGAACATCAAACAATTAGAAAAATCTAATAAAACAAACAGTGAAAAAAAAAGTCATTAGAAATAGATTATTATATTGAACGATGAAAATGTAAAAACAACAAATCGATCGATTACTTTCAAATATCTTTATATACAAGATATTATAAAGTAAACAATCGATTTGCATTTCACAAAAACATTCAATGACCATTCTATTTTCAATTGAAAATGTGATCAAAACAAAGCAAAAAAAAAAAATTCAAGAAAATTTCCAATTTCAAGTGTTAACAATGAATGACCAATGAAAATCTTTAATTTCAATATATATAAATTGATGCAAAATGTATGATGCAGAAAGAGGTAACTAATTCAGTCGAATTTTCAATCATTCTTGGGTCATTTTCAATGTTTTTATATAGATGGAGTTTTTATTAGTTGCACACATATATGCAGAGAGAGAGAGAGTGGAGAATAATTTCCATTTTCTTTATTATCGCACACACTGACACACAAACATTATTTTCTTTTCACTACATTTATTATACAGTCATTTAGAATTCAAATACAAAAAAAAAAAATAAAAAAAAACTAACTAGAAAATGAGAAATAAAGTTGTATATTTCAAATGAAAATTAGTTAGAAACAACAATGTAATGAAAAAAAAAGAGTTCAATTGACCAAGATGTGTAAGACTGGTGGTGGTGATGAAAATGATGAAACAAATAGTGGAAATGATAATGATCAATGATGGTGATCAGACAATAACCAAAAACCAAAACCAAAACCAAATGACGAATAAAACATAAACATACACACACATAAAAAACACACAGAAATAATAATAATAAAAATTTTACACAAATAAATGACCACTGTGGTCATTTATTTTATTAGCAATGAATGATGTATTGGCACAATAATAGAAAAAAAAATTAATAAACAAAACGATAAAATAGGTTGAAAATATATTTATATAGTGGTGGGAAATAAAACCAATAAACATTATTATTATTATTATTTTTATTATTTGATTTGATCATTTTGATTCATTCATTTTCATCAATTTTCATTCATTCAAATAATGATAACAATGACAATCATATAAAAATATAGCCAACAATGGGGGGGAAAAAAAAGAAACAAAGAAAACACTAAATAAGATGTAAAAAAAAAAAAAAACACAGACATATACAAATTATATTTTGGCTGCAATTTAAATCTCTAGGATTTACTGCAACCAAAAAAACCAAAACAAATCATCAAATATAGCAGCAATATGATTGCTCAATGGAAATGAGAAAATTTCATTTAATGAAATACATTCATTCGCCCCAAAAAAAACACACAAAACAAATCATGTAAATTTTCATTTCTGTCATTGAAATTTTTCAAATTAAAATCAAACACCCATAGAGAGAGAGAGAGAGAGAGAAAATGCTTTACATTCATTTCAATAAATGAAATTCAAAATGAAAAAAAAAAAAAAAAAATTTTTTTTTGAAAATGAAATTAAATGAAAACCACAATGAAAGGAATGAATTTCAAATCTTTGCAAGGAATTTCTCTTCGTTCATTCATTCACGAAATCAAACATTTACTGTTGTTAACCACACTGACACATACACACAATGATCCAAAATTTTTCATCCCACAAAAATAAAAATAACAATAACAAATGTCACATGCATACGTATTTTTTGAATGAAAATATTTTTTATATAACAAAGCTCGAAAAAAAAACAAGCAGAAAAAGAAAAAAAAATTCCATTGTAACGAGGAGAATTCATTCGAATCACATTCATTTTGCAGAGCAACACAATATCATTCGAATAGAAAGTACAAAAAAAAGTCCGTGATAATAATGGGAAAACCAAAAACAAAAACAAAAAAAAAAAAAAAATAATGTTATCAAGGCAGCAAGGTTGTGTAATCATTTTGTTGTGAGGGCCGCCCAAAACCATGAATTGGCAGCGGAGTGGGGGGGACAGGTTATGGTTATGGGACAGAGAAAAAACCCAGGAAAGAGCGGCAATGGCAAAGAGAGCGTCCAAGTGTAATTCTGGGTGGTTTTCCTGAGTGTAGGTAAAGTACCACCACCACAACATATGTAAAAAGAATCAAATAATAATTGTTCGACATGAATTTTTTTTTGTTCATGATGATGATGATGATGAGAAAATCGAAAGTTTTTTTTTATTGTTTTAATAATTTCAATCTAAAAATAATAACAGGCCTACCGACCACCACCACCACCAAACTTTGTCAAGTACATGTGAACAACCCCATGGTGATGAAAAAATCATAATTCATAAAGAATTTTTTTTCATTTTTTTTTTTGGTGTATTTAATTCTTGTTCATCATCACATTCAATTCAATACATTATTATTGGATGACCACGTTGAAAATCATACGAATGAGAAACATTCTGTTTATTTATTTTTTTTCATGAATGAATAAATTGTGGATGAATGATCATTGATGAAAGAAAAAAGAAAAATGAATAAAAACATTTTTTAACCAAAAAAAAAAAAAAAAAAAAACAAACTCGGAATCGGACAACAAAAGCCATGGCATTTTTTTTCTTTTTCTTCACTTTTCTGAATTCGTGATGGCTATTTCTGGTTTTGATGGATTCTTTATGCATTATAACAAAAAAAAGAGAAATTTTTTGTGTAGAAAAATATATTAAAAATGTTTTTCTCTCTCTCTCTCTCGCTTTCTCGTTCTCGTTCCACTTGACAGCATCAACAGCGATAACAACAACAACAACAACAACAACAACGACAACAATGACTCTATTTTGGATCGAATAGATGGAATAGATAGATGGATCCAGACATACATTGTCTTCTTCTTCTTCTTCTTTTTTTTACAGCCATAATGATGAACATGAAGAAAAAAACCAGAACAATAGAGAACATAGAGAGCAGAATAAAAAAAAAGCAAATAAGATGATGCTTTCAAACATTATGTGTGTATATATGGGTATATGGATTCATTTTCTGTTGTTGTGGATGAATAATAGAGTTGTTAACCAGAATTGAACAGCCAAAAGCAAAAGCAAAAAGCAAAAAAAAATATATAGATGATGAGGCGAAAAAACAAGAGAACAGAGAAACCATTTCAAGAAAGCGAGAAAAAAAATCAAAACTAAAACTGAAAAAATAACCATTTTTTTTTTTTGTAAATGTATGGTTCAAAGGGTCATCATACATATAAACGAACAGAAAAAAAAACAGCACGGGACTATTGAAAAATGAAAAACTATCACCAAGAAGAGAAAAAAAAAATCTTGATGATGATCATGATCATCATCATCATAAAGTGCATCATCAACATCTTATCATCATCATCATCATTTTTGATTGTCATAGAAAATGGATCCACAGGAAGATCACTATCTTTGTGTGTGTGTGTGTTTCAAAAGTCAAATGGAATCAATACACACCATCAACGATAAACTAACCAACACACAAAGAAATATCATCATAATGTATTACATGTGAGAATGAAAAACCATAAGTTTTTTATTATTTTGTTTAAAAAAAGTGATACATTGATCAAAAAAAAAAAAAATGAATCCAAATTTCATATCAAGATCAGATCTAGACCAGTGTAATTTTTTTTTGTTCACATAGAAAAGCCAGACCAGACCAACAAAAAAACCGATTATGATGTAACTCATGAGACAGGCAAAAAAAATGAAAATGGAACATAATTTGTCCGTGTGTGTTTGAGACAAAAACATGAAATAAATTTTCCATTTTTTTCATCACTGATAATGATAATGAGCATCATCATCATCATTATGATGACGATTATTATTGTCATCACCAGCAATAAAAAAAATTCATTTTCAACAACAAATGCAACTTGCAAAAAAAAACAGCATTTGTTCAGAATTTGTTTTCTGGTTCTGTTTCTCATTCCAATCATCATCATCATCATCATCATTTTTAAACTATCTAATTTTTTGAACATTACTCATCACCAACCAAAAATTCTTTGTAATAAGATTTTTTTCAGAATCTATAATCTTATTCTTTCTAACCGTGTGACAAATATATTCGGTGAAAATTGACAAAAAAAACATGAAAAAAATGTCAATAATCAAAAAACAAAAACAAACACACACACACACACACATTCGAATGGGCAAACACAAAAAAAAATTGAAAATCTCAATAAAAGTGAAAAAAAAGATACCAGTTATATATGCGCGTACACAACATGACAGATGTTATCTGAATCTGTTTTTGGGTTTTATTTTTTCGTTATTGTAAAAAAAAATTCAACAAAACATGGCCACAAAACTACAACGACTATCAGTGAACTAACACCACCACCACCATCACCACCTTGTATCAGGAAAAAAACTTGGATTCTATTTTTAGATGGAAAAAGAATGAAAAGGGAAGAAAAAAAAACTTGGTAAACAACACCAAACACATGCATGGATGCATGTAGAATCTTCATCTTTACCTTTTTTTTCTGAATATTCTTCAATACATTCTTCAAAATTGTATGAATTAAATGTAAAAGATAATGTTATTTTTTCATCATTTTCCATTCATGAATTCAAGGCCAATTATCATCATTTTTTTTTCATTTCATCATTCTTTATTCAATTCGTCATCCTTCAGGGAATTTGATAATGTTTAAGATGATGATGACGACAGAAAAAAAATGAAAATGAAAATGAAAATTAAATTTCAATTCAATTCGATTTGAATTCAATGAAAAACAACAGATACCATTAAAGAATCGAAATGATATATTGAAATTTAATGAAATTAGCATAATTCTATATATATTGTCCTATAGAATTGAGATTTGATTTAGAAAAAGAGAAAAAAATTCTTGTAAAATAAATAATGGACGTCTACGACGACGACGACATTATTAGCATTAGCAGTAGCATTGGATGAATTTTTGTTTTCTTCTGACATTCAGAATATTATTGAAAAGAAAATTTTTTTTATTCGTTTTTTTTAGACAAGGTTTGGTGGTGGTGGTGGTGGTGGTGTTTGTATCTGTATGAATTATTGTCAACAAAAAGTGTGTGTGTGTGTGTGTGTGATGATCGATGAATTGAAAAGTCATTTTGAATTTGATCGATTGTTATTAATAGTGGTCATTTGTGACAATGGCGTAAAGTCCAGACATGTAAGGTACACATTGAATGATTTCATGATAATGGTACTTTATGTCGAAATCAAATGACAATGGAAATCAATGTGTGTGTGTGTGTGTGATGGATTTTTTTTTTGTGTTGCTTCACGAAACTTTCATTGCTTTCAATCAGCAATCAGAATATAATAAAAAGGAAAAATACTTTAAAAATCAAAAATATTAAATTGAAAATTTATGCAAATTTTCGTCTGCCACCATCATCATCATCATCATCATCATCAATAATATTCTTTAATGGAAACTTTTTTTTACAAAAAAAAAAATTCAATTCCAATCATCATGTTTTTCAATGAAAGGTAAGACTTACCTGGATTTTTTTAAGTTGTCGAAATTCAATGGTTGTAATCAATGATGTTTTGATTAGTTTCGACAAAAAACAATCAAAAGAGGCACACACACACACACACACACACACACAGACACACTTTTGATGATGAGAAAAATAAAATTGAAAATTCAATTTTTTTTGAGCATTTTTTTCCAATTACAATTATCGATAATTGAAATTTGAGATCGAATTTAAGAAATTCTTAAATTTTCAACGAAAAAAAAATAAATAAATCAAAACCATGAGAAATTCATAAATGACGTGATGCAATGTAAGATGTGCTATCAGTGATGAATGATGCCGCCAATAACCACCGCATCACCACCGTTCATCATTGAAATACCTAAAAGTAAAATAAAAGAGACAAAATTAGTTTAAAAAAAAAAATAAAAATCGATAATATGCACAAAGAATCGATAAAACCACATTTCACAATATAATAAAAACAAATGAGAAAAAAAAATTATGGATAAAAATAGAATTAATGACGAAAGTAAAAATAGCTGAAAAAAACAGGAGAAATAATAAAAAGTTAATTTCAAAAATGACAATGGTATGTATGATATTCAAATATTCATCTAGTGTGTGTGTGTGTGTCTGCATGATGATATCAAGAATCTAGAAACGAAAACAACAACAACAAAAAAAATTCTCAAAATTCTATCATTGCAACAACAACAACAGAAAAACACACTTTACTCTGTAACACGCTGCTACCAATTAATAATCATCATCTGAAGTAGATAAAAAAAAAAATGAATTTATTACCCAAAAAGCAAAACAAAAAAAAAAAACAAAACAAAAAAAATGACAGAAAATTTATTCACAACACGTAAAAAAGGTCATGTTCTCCATTCACTATTTATATTTATTCATTCATTCGTCCAAAATATGTTGATTAGAATATAATAATAATAAAATTCTACGGAATTTTATCATAAATTGAAATAAACTTTTTTTTCCACCATCCAGCTTAATGGCGTTTTGTTGTTGTTGTTGTTGTTGTTGATAAAACAATCCGAAAAAGTTCTGGCTTTCTACATATATGAAAGAATTTCGATTCTTGAAATGAAACCGAAAAAAAAATATCATAAGCCAATATCATATTTCTTTTTGTGAAATTTAAAAAAAAATGATTCATTGATTTTGATTACAAAAATTCATTCATTCATCTATGTTTGTCTTTCAAATATTATTGGAAAAAAAAGCCGAATCGATTTACAAGAAACAAAATTTTTTGAAAAAAAAGAAAGAAAGAAAATCCATTGAATTTTGGCCACACATTACAATGTGAATTTGGTGAAGAAACAAAAATCCTGTTGTTGTTTCTACATGTTTCGGTTTTGAATTCAAAATCATCATCATCATCATCATCATCGTTCGGATTCAATTTCAGGCCATTTTCCACACTCATTGAATTAAAAATAAAAAATAAAGATTCTTGTGTCCCAGATTTCTTGTCTTGTCGATGTTGTTGTTGTTGTTGTTGTTGTTGTTACTAATACCACCGATCTTCAAGCATACACTAATCATATTTATATAGAGCAAAGAAAGAAAAAACAACAACAACAACCAAAATCGATTGTATATAAACAACAACAACAACAACAACTTCATTGAAAATCAATCGAGATGAATTGAACCGAATTGATGAGAAACGAAAACAAAACAAAACTCAAAAAGAATCGAAAAAGGCTGAACACACTAAAATCCTGTCTCTTTTTATGGCTAGCATACACACACACACACACACACCAGAGAAAATGGCAAGATCAATGATTCTTCTTCTATTTGGTTGGTTGTTTCTAGTTCGATATAATTTTTTTTTCACTGTTGTAAAATTTTGAATAGAATCGGGTCGAAATAGTTTGTTTATATCATCATCATCATCATCATCATCATGGACATGATCATGATGATGATGATGATGATGATGATGATTTTTTATGGTGAGAAATAAGAATGACGCCCAATTTCCAAATGCTGCCTATTCTATACTTTACTATATTGAAATCACATTTATACTTAATGCCAGTGTGTGTGTGTGTGTGTGTGTGTGTGTGTGCTATTTAATCTAAATACCGTTATATCTTGGGTTGCTTTTTTTTGCCACGAAAAAAAAAATTATTATTATTATCATTATTAGTGTTCGTCATTCATTTAATTCCAAAAAAAAGCAGGGGTGTGATTTTTATTTTTATTTATATCTATTTATAAACCATGAAAAACTAGAAGTTCTTTTGTTGATGATTATTATTGAAACCGTAGCATTATTATTATCATCATCATGGAATGATGATTATTGCTGCACGTTATGTTTCAATGTGTGTGTATGTGCACTGTTAACACAGAATTCATTGTGCTAGTTGTTGGTTAACAAAAACAAAAACAAAAACCAAAAATCGATAAGTATTGCTCATTTGGATTCGGAATTTAATTTGAGACAAACAATATCTATGATGACCGATGATGATGATGATGATCAATTTCAAACAGCCAGAACAACAAAAAAAATTTTCCCATAATAAACATCTGTTTTTCTGTTTGAATGTTATGTTATTATTAATGTGCAAACTAAATGAAAAAAAAGCGAAAAAATTAATCATGGAAAAATATTCAAGCGAAAAAAAATATGACCATAACAACGATAAAAAAAGGTATTCTATCATTGTCAATGTGGAATGTTTTTGACATTAACAAAACACAACAAAAAAAAAAAAAAATAAAAATAAAAACAGAAACAGAAAAAATCAATCAATCAATCGATGAGAAAACAAGAAAACAATGATCTCAATTATCAATTACAATGATGTCATCAAAATAAAAATGGTCATCATCTTCATCATCATCACCATCATCATGGAAAACTATCGGACCATACTAATAAATCACAAATATTCAGACCAAAGTGGACCAATAAAATATAGAAAAAAATCGATCACAAACTAAGGGTCAATTATTATTGATTTTTATCAATAAATCATTGATTATTAATTAATAGCCCAAAAAAAATTTAATTATAATCATCATCATCATCATATAATGATGATGAAAGATGACAAATAAAAAAAAATTACTCAATTTCAATTTGATTAATGTTTCCAGATGGATTTTGTCAACAGAATAATCGAAACACAGAATATGGTAACTTGATAAATGGTAATAAAAAGAAAAATGAATGTGTACACAACAAATTGTTGTGCATAAGCGTGTAATGTACGATATTTGTTGAAATCGAATTACGAAACAACGATAAAAAAAAAGTTTTAAATTCCGAAACCAGGAATTTGAAAAAAATAGTCTGCATTTTTTACGATAAAAACATTCCAGAAAAAAAATCCTATAGATCAATCAAAACAACAGTAGCTTAATATAGGAGAATATCGAATTCAATTAACCCATTACAATGATACGGCCCATGGCCGATTATATTTATCAAACCGGATCCACACACACACACGCAAAAAAGATCAAAAACTGTCAGTGGATCAATTTGCCGGTCCATCATCATCATCATCATATCTCGGTCGATTGATTTCAAATCTACGATATTTAGATATCTATGACCAATGTGAAAAAGAAAAAGAAAAAGGCAAAAGAATTTAAGAATAATAATAAATACAAGCTTTACGAATGGTTGCCATAAACTGTTACATTATTCATGAACGGAAATGAATGATTTATTCTCCTCCTTTCATTGTTGTTGTTGTTGTTGTCGTAGTTTTCTATGGTTTATTGTTGTTGTTGTTATTATCATAGATTTCATTACAAATGTGAAAGTTAAAGTGAAAAAAATTTTCTTCAGTTATTCTATATACAAACACAAACACATGCACACACACACACAGTGGCAAAAAGAAGAAGAAAAATAATTCATTAACAAAATGGTAAGAATTCAAAGAAGAATGCCAACAATACGAAACAAAACAAAAGTAAAAAAATCTTATCTTAAAATAAAAGGGCAATTTGTTTGATTGAAATAAAACATTTGTATGTAACCAATCATTGATTCATTGAAAATTGAAATATCAGAAATTACATTAAACCAGGAATCAAAGAATTGATATATTTGACATTTAATCAATCAGAATCGATATATAATGCACCAACATACCAATGTCACCGGTGATAAGAGCAGCTGTATCAGCAGCAATCGTACCATACACACAATAATCATCATCAAATTTTAAAATGAAAGAGAAAAATTTAATAAAATTTTAATTGAATACATTGTTGAAAATGAATGACAAAACAAACACATGCAAGTTTCACATCATGAATATGGTTCTAGAAAAAAAAAATGAAATATGTGTGTCTGTGTGTGTGTGTTTGTACAGAGAAGAATTATGACAATCATAATGAAAATGAAAAAAAAAATTCTCATGAATTCAGAATCACGAAAATATTCTCGGGCCAAGAAAAAAAAAAAAGATTTATTCATTATATATACGTCTTGTCATTTCAAGAATATGAAAAATAAAAACTTTCACAATATATGAAAATTAAAAGATGAAGGAAAAAAAAAAAACATTTGCAACTGAAAATGTAGACCAAAATCACTGGATTCATTTCATTTCATTTCATTTTCAAGATTGTGTAATCAGTTTCCATGTGTGTGGATGAAAAAAAAACATATAGCAGCAGCAACAACAACAACATGATTCAGAAAAAGTGAATGAAAATGAAAATTTTATGATCAATGAATGAATGAATGAAAAAACACAAAGCAATCTAAAGAATTTTGTTATAACCACAAAAAAAATGGTAGAAGAAAATCTAGTTAATATTTATTAGCAAATTATTATTAATGAAACATAATTTGTTTGAATACACACATAGGATAACTACTATTGAAGAGATAAAAGTTACGAATAGAGCAAGATTCATATTTTAGCTTGCCACAAACACAAAACAGGTTATTACTTCGAAAGAAGATTTTTTTTTTTGTGTGTGTGTGTGTGTTGGAACGATCCAATTAAAATTATTATTATTTTATCGATTATAAAGCTATTTATTTTCTTCTTCATTTTTTTTTGTTCCTATTGAAACAAACAACATTCATTTAATGTGATGATGATCAGCAAGCAACCATATATGGACAGATGGCTAGATAATAATCATCATCAGGAATATAAATACTAAATATGGAAAAACGGTAATGATCGGTATAGATGCATGCATAATTCTTGACTAACTGAAAATGAAGAAATCAAATGAGATTTAAAATTTATTGCATGTGGTAACAAAATAAACAAACCAAAAATTGAAATCTTTTTGGTTCAGAAAATTTTATTTTTTCTAACTTTCAATTTTTCAGAGTAAAAAGTGATAACAAACAAACAA